CAGGGTGCTGGGGGAAGAGCTCCGGCTCCCTTCGGGGCTTTGCACGACGCAGTGGTAGGAGGCAGCGTCGGCGACAGCCACCTTGGGGAAGGCGAGCGACGGGGCAGGGCCACCGCTGAACCAGACGTTGTCCTTGTACCAGGTGTAGCTCAGGGCTCCCCGGCCGCTGCTGGCCACCGCGCAGGTCAGGTTCACGGCATCCCCTTCGCGCACGTCCGGGGAGGGAGAGATCCAAACCCTGGCAGCTGAGGCAGAAGGAGAGAGAGAGAGAGAGAAACAAGACTTAGGCAAAGAGAGCTCTGGAGAGCGACTTCTGCGGGGGCAGAGGTGTTGGAGAGCCCGGCAGGCAGGAAAGCGGTGGGTAATTTGGGGGAGAGCTGACGCGATTTGGTACTTCTGTTTTGGGCTGTTGTCCCGCCAGACAAGAGGCGATGAAAATGCCTTAGCCCATCTCGGCAAATACTGTCCCCACCTAGGACAGCCCAGGGGTGACGATGAATGTGCTGGCATGGCCAAGGCTGACAATGACTTGGATGGGAGCTTTCTAGAGCAAAGCAGGATCTTTGCATTGCCTCTAGGAGGGAGCCAGAGCTCCTCCTTCGCGTGGATCCTTGCCCGGCGGCACGTGGGAAAGGCGCACACAGCTGTTAGGGAATACGATGCACCTCTGATGCAACCATCAACCCTTCCATCCCTCCCCATAAACATATATCTTCCTCTATCTCTTCCCTCTGTCTATACTACCTCTCCTATTCTCTCTTTCTCTCCACCTCCCTTCTCCATAAGCATCTTCCAACTCATGCTCGCCTGCACATCTTCACACCAACCTCACTGCATCCATCGCTCCCTCCACACCTCTTGCACCCGCTATCTGCGGCCTCAGTCTCAGCCCCGTCCCAGCCCCCTGACCCATCCCCGGCCCTCGCGGCAGGACCGGCCCCACACTCACTCCCCGCGGTGAAGTTCCTTGAGGTGCTCGCATTGCCGTAGGTGTTGCTGGCCAAGCACACGTATTCCCCTTCGTCCTCCATCACCACGGCGCGAATCTGCACCCGCAGGCTGTTGAGCGAGGAGGACACGCTGAGCCGTGGCAGGGCCATGGGCTGCAGCCACGTGGTGGAAGCCACAAGCACGTCTCCCTTGAAGAGGGCCAGCTCAGCCGGGGGGTTGCTGTCCACAGTGCACTGCAGGATGCCCAGCTGCCCATTGGACGTCTCCAGGAAGGATGTCAACACAGGCTCGTGGGGTGGATCTGCCCGGGCGAGACAGTGTGTATATATTGAACAAACCCTTCACGTGCCCTCATCCTGCCCAGTCTCCAGCTCTGGTCCAGGGGGGCTTTACCTCCCCTCCAGGTCCTGTGTTACGTTGCTGTCCCAATGTGGATTTTGGATACTCGTGGGTATCAGGAGTGGCTCTTGACACCCCTCTTCTAGCACCCAGCTCCAGCCCCCAGGTCAGCAGCATCCCGCATTTGCGACAGAGCATAAGCCAGACTTTCTCTTTCCCCGTTTTTCCTCTCCAGCCCAGAAAGACAATATTTTCCCCCCCCAAAAAAGTGAAGTCTTGAAAAATTAAAGTAATTTCAGGTCAGTCTTCAATTGAAGATGAACTGAAACATTCATTACTGCCATTTTCCCCCCTCGTTTTATGTGACACAGTATGCAGATGAGACATGGGATGGTGACACCATTTCTGATCAGAAGGTTCTGTTTGAAACAGGATATGTTTGACCGAGGGGGCGTTTTATTCCAGACCAAAAAAATCCTCTCTTATGAAGGAGATGTGTTTCCACAGAACGTTCTGCTTTCAACTCTGTGGCATTTCTAAGGGTAAAGGATGTTTCATCACAAAATTCGCAGAGCTCTAGACAAAACCCAGCCTCTTTCTCTGCCCAGGACGTGATAATGCTGTTTCCTGGCTGCTGCCTGCCTCAATCCACCAAGCTCTGGGATGCCCCCTGCTTCCACTCTCTTTTCTGTCAGTATTTCCCAAGACGATCCCACTTACAGAAGACACGCAGGCTGATGGACGGAGAGATGCTGGTGCTGGCTGCCGTGGGGCTGTGGGCTTTGCAGTGGTAGGAGCCCACGGCTTCACTAGAGACATAGGGCAGGGCAAGGAAGTTGTCTGAGCCTTCTTGGACTTGCTTGCTGTTCTTGTACCATGAGTAGATGGTGTCGTTCAGCGGCTCTCCCAGCAAGTCGCATGTCAGGGAGACGTGATCTCCTTCCTTCACCTCCGTGGATGGCACAACAAGGACTCTGGCCGCTAGAGCATGGAGACAAGTCACAAGCAGTTCAGACAGCAACACAGCAGGGCTTGGCAGGTGCCAGCTCCTTTCTCTGAGCAGCCCCAAAGACAGGCCTGTAACGACAAGCTGGAGCTCGCAATAGGCTAGAAGGTGTCACAGATCCCCACGAACCAGGCTTGGAAGAGCCTTCCTGAGGCCACCCAGGCCATCTCCACAACCCAAGACTGAACTGACCCTGCCCAGCAGAATTAACTAGAGCGTAACAAAACCAGAAGCACGCAGCTTGTGTAATGGGAATCATAACGCTGAACCTATTGACGTTCCTGTTACAATCAACAGAGGCCATGGACACTGAGTAGCATTGAGGTTGGCAATGGACACCTCCGTGCACGCACGTACATTTAGATCTATCAATTAGAGAGCTGAATCCCAGCCCAGAAGTCCAGAAAATGAATTCAGTTCTGGACTTCTGCTAAATTCCTTGTGTATCTAAGGCGTTGGCCAAGCGCAGAGTTTCAGGGTCTGGGTGCAGAGCCAAGTTTTCCCCAGCGTCTGGGTCTGGAGTGCCAATTCTGCACCAACATCGACCCTCAGCAGCCACAAAGGCCTCTTTCCCCCTTCCCACAAAGCCATCCATGCAGGTGATGGGCCACCAGCTCATACCAGAGCCCCTGGCCACAGAGTGCGCTTCCTCACCGTGGAGACGCGATGCTTCGCCCTGAACAGCAGCAGGA